GTACTTACCATCCCGATTTTACAAAAGTGATTCCTTTACCTTTTCTTTAATTAAAATTCTTTCTTTTAAGAACCTGATTGATTTTGCATTGTTTTAAGATCCAAGGGTTTAGGTCTGTGTTCACCTGTACCAATTGGTGAGGGGATTATTCTCAAGCCTCCCCAGGAAAAGGGGTGTAGGGCTTTGGGGGGATATTTGGTGAAGGTAGGGCTCCAAGTGGCCCTCCCTAACTGTTTGTTTAAATCACTTGGTGGTGGCCAAGTTACTTAATCCAAAGTATAAGAAAGAATTTGTGCCTTGGGGAGTTCTTAACCTAAACTGGTAAAAATAAGCTTAGGGGGTCTTCATGCGGGTCCCCATGTCTGTACCCTAAAGTTCAGAGTGGGGAGGGAACCCTAACAGGAACCGGCTGAAGTTACTCAATTAGGGTGAACTGCATGCAGAACGGGGCAGGCAAACCCCAAAAGCTGGTGGATATGCCAATATTTAGGTTTACCAAGCCATCGCAAAACAGCTTCTGTATTACCTCACTGGTGATGCAGAAGTCCAAACAACGCAGTTCCCGTAAAGTATCCAGCTTCAGGCCTCCATTCAGGTACACATGTCAAATATGATGAAGATTACTGAAAATCTCATTTCATCATATAAAAGAAAAGGTTCTCCCAATCCCAAAGGATCGGCCACATACCCAGGTCAAATTTTAATTTAGATCTTACCCAAAATACACACTTATAGCCAATTCTTATTAACTAGACTAAAATTTATTAAAACAGAAAAGAGATACAGTGTTGGTTAAAATATCCATATACATACAGACATGAGTTCAATTCTTGTGGTTCAGATACACAGCAGACAGAGATGGTGAGCCTGTAGTTGCCAAAAGTTCTTTTAAAAATAGTCCATAGGTTTTAATCCAATGTCCATATTCAGGACATTGGATTAAAACCATTGGATTGACTCCAGCCAATGACTGGGCATCTCAATTCTTATGGCTTAGGGTTTCCCCCTCTTGAAACCCAAAGCGGATCTGAGATTAAAAGGATTGTGTCCCAGGGTCTTTATACTTTTCCAGTAGCCTCTTGGCTTGAGAGAACAGTAGGATTAACCTTCTTCTCTCAAACATCATGGCAAAAAGCATAGGGTAATTTATCCATTAAACAGTGCATATACAGTTCACCACAAACTTCAAAAAGACATATAGACAATAATATTATTTCAATCAAGTGTCATCATAAAGGCTAATATTCCATTTGGATCTTGAATCAAAGCTATAGTAACAGACAAGTATTGTTTGTTTACAATACAAGACTTGAGCAAACACCTGCCATTCTATTGCTCTGACAATGCAGGTTGCATTTCAAAGTACTATTCTAACCTAATGCAATAGCCCAACTATCATTTACATATAGCAAGTCTTTAAAGGTTGACCATGGGTCAAGTCAGTCTATGAGTTAGATAACCCTTTCTGGCCATGTGCCACCTTTCAATTATACCCATAATGTCACTGGATGATTACAGACTTTTGTTTTAACCAAGAGCAAAAAAGTAGAGGAAAATACATAAAATATATCATTTGGGGCTAAATATTTCCCAAACTTTCCAAAACAGTACTATTTTGAGTATATAGTTGCATTATCAATCATATTTAGAAGATTTCTGCCAGTTTTGATCAAAAGTGTGAATTTCGGATTGTTTTTCAGATTGGGTGCCCAATAGCTTTTAAACATTACATGGTACAGAAAAACTGCACCACTTCCAGCATCTACTTCCACCCTGGTAATGACCACCAGTCATGTGCCTAACGTAGTTAAAATGAGATTTTCTAGGTGGTGAGTTAACCGAAGTGCCCCAAATGAGTCCAGGCTGGTAGACTAGTGAGAATAAAGGGTTTTCAGTCCTGCCCCAACTATAAATCTGCATGAAAACTTAAGCATAGAGCTGCTACTACTTGTGCATGCGTTCCTGTCTCCCACTGAGTTGATGCTCGCTTTTAGAATGTTTGTGTATGCATCTGCTGGGAAATAATCAAATATATTTGGGGTCTTGTGGTTTTGGTGTATGCAGTTCTCTTAACAGTACATCATAATATGACATTTTAGCCAGTTATCCCAGTGCAGAATTCCAGATGAAAACCATGAAAGCTCTTGTAATTTTCATTGAATAGAATTTTGCCTTTGAAAGACATGACAGATTTCTAAAATACTGGAAATGGCATCTGACATTTCAAAAATGTCTGGAACAGGCCACTCCCTGCCCCACTCTTTGCTCACCTCTGGGAAACCTTATATGAATTTTTGTTTTCCCTTCCTATAGCTCTTTATGTCTTCAGGTGTTTCCTTGTGGCTGGTCTGGTCAGTAGACAGAATTCTTCTAACACACTTTAGCAAATCACAATGGGTATCAATATGGTAAGAAGCCTCATCAGTGGCTCAGGCCCTAATGTTCAACACCTGATTGTTAAGTAGCTCTTCTTTAAGAGCCTCAACTATTAAAAAAAAAGCACTTCTGAAACTGAGAAACACAAGGGAAGAGAAAGGATGCTCATGTAATTAAATCGCTGAATCAAAACTCAGACTCTCTGTGGCATTGGGCAAGTCATTCAATCTCTTATGTGTCTCAGTTCTCCATTTGAAAAATGACAATAATAATATTTCCCTCCCCTACCTTTTGCCTGTCTGGTCTATTTAGATTGTAGGATCCTCAGGGCAGGGACTGTCTGTGTATAGTATTGCTCCTTTTAGCACCAGTGCCCTGTTCTGACACCAGCGTTACCCTCAGCAAAGTGGTGGCAGGTGTCCAGCACCTTGCAGATCAGAGGAGAAATCGGTGACAGGGATTCTGGGTAAACTCTAAGTGAAACTTGTCATATTTACATTTATTCACCTGTTTTGGAATGAGATGGTCACACAGCAGAGGCTCCTCTTCCAGAGATTTGTCTTCACTTCTTTCTTACCTTTAAATCTTGTGGAGCTCTTCTCTGTTGCTTCATCAAGAATACCCTCTCCCCACCTCCCCTGGCTAAGGCTTATCTCCACAGTTTCCCACATACACCCATGAGTTTTTTTCTTTTCCTGTTCAACTCAAACATAGAGTCTCTCATTCCATTAGCGGCATCTGGTTTCCTGCCTCCAAAATATCTCAGGGGTCTACCAACCCTGACTGAACCTGCACCCCCACCCCCCCCAGGGAGTGCGAGATTCTCTCCCTCATACAAATTCAGGGCTCTTTTTCTCTCTGAAACACTGGGACTCCCCTCCCCATTCAGGGGAGCAACCAAATTTTCAAGGCAACTGTAGTGATGGAGGAGGCCATGCAGGTGACAGTTCTGGTGGGTAGTGTGCTTCTATATGTGTGCAAGATCTAGCAGTTGTCGGGGGTGCAGAGGGTTCCCTATGAGCCCTGGAGGGAGGGAGGAGTGGCAGTATGTGACAGCCATGGTCGGGGCTGGTCATTGAGATGCACATGGTCATGGCTAGGCTGCTGCCATAGTTCCACACTCCACTGGCTGCCAGCTTCCTCAGGAGCATGGGCGGTTGGTGAACCCACAGCTTGTGGAGGCTAGCCCTCCCAGCCCCGCCCCTTCTGCCCAAGGCCCCGCCCTTTCCATGCCCATTGGAGCCCAGCCCCCTTCCACTGTGGCTGCTGGCCCCTTCCCCTAGGTAGTGCCCCCAGCCCAGGATAGCACTGAATCAGCCTCCCCCAGCCACAGAGCTCCGTAGAGCTGGGCAGCATGGCAGCAGCCTCCTCCGGCTCAGGAGCTACAGAGACCCGGGCAGTGCGGCCCCAGCATCCCTGGGCTGCGCCTGCTGGCCTGACCCCAACCATGAAGCCCTCCCCGCACAGCCGAGTCACCAGCCCCAGTGCTGGGCAGGTGGTGCATCGGACTGCCCCAGTGCTGGTTGGCCAGAGTGGCCCCAACGCCAGGGGACTGGTGGTGTGGTGTGGTATGGCTCCCAGCCTGCCTGCCCAAGCCTTTGGGAAGAGCAGGCAGGAGTGGGCCTGGACTCCGGTGGAGCATGGGTGGGGCCACATGAGGCAGTTTGGGAAGGCAACACCTTCTCCTGCCTATGATACCCACCGCCCATGCTCAGGAGTCCAGAGTCTGGAGTAGGCGGTTCCAGAAACCAGTAGAAAATTTCTGTTGCAATAACTGCACCAGAGTTTCTGGAGCAGGTCCTGCCAACAGGGTCACATGGTTGCCCTCCTCTCAGGGGCTCTTCTTCCCTAAACTTTGGGGATCCCCCTGGTTGTGGGACTGTTCTCCTCTTTGTCTTCCAATCCCCCCACCCTTTGATCCCTGGTCACAGTGGAAGGTGGGTGTGATGCTGCCAGTGCTGGGCCTCGCAGCTGCCTCCCCTCCCCAGGCCTGAGGGTCAGAGCTGGGGGCAGAGACAGGAGACGTCTGTGTCCTGCAGGGGAGCAGCTGAGATAGTGCTGGGGGTGCGGAGGGGCAGGATCGCCCAGCTCCACCTGCTCTGAGCCTGGCCCAGCTGCCTGGAGAGGGGGCTCCCCCTACAGCCTCCCTGTAGGAATGGGGCTTCTCTGATTGGGTCACACCATCCTGGTACTAATCTGTGTGAAGTTGAATCTGACTGGCTGAGAGCTGGGTAGGTGGGACTTAGGGTGGCTGCCCATTAAATTCTGGTTGGTCAGTGGAAAGGGTGAGGGGCAGTGCATAGTGAGGAAGTTTTACCCCAAACCTTATTCCTTATTTGTCAATGACAAAGGTTTAAGAATTGGGGTGTCTGGGCCATTCACAGTGCCGATTGGTCAAGAGTGAAATACAAGGGGTGGGGCTTATGCAGGATGTTCCAGCCAACACTGGTTCCTCATTGGAATAGGGTGGGGGTTGGGAGAGGTGGAGGAGCAGAAATTCTATGTTATTGTTCATGTGGATTGGTCAGGGAGAGGGGCTGGTGGGCAGGGCCACCTGTTAGAACGGCTGTGACGAGCCTCCTTCACACTGTGAAACCCCTTCTCTGTGTTTCTCTCTCCTGCAGCTTGTGGAGTTGTGGTCTCACAGCCGCTGGCTGCAGGGATCTCGCCGCTGTTCTCAGAACCAGCCAGAGCCTGACAGAGCTGGACCTGAGTGATAATAAACTGGGAGTTTCTGGAGTGCGGCTGCTGTGTGAGGGATTGAAACACCCAAACTGCAAAGTGCAGAGACTGGAGTAAGTAACATTTGGCCCCTTCTGTGTGTTTACAGGTGTCCCCTGTGTAAAGTGCTTTACACAGTGAGAGAAAGTGAAGAGGAGGAGAAGATTTTTTTTTCTCTATTCCACTCTGATGTTTCTCGGGGATTGGGTGTCACCTCGTTACCCCCTGCCTACAACTAGAGGGAGTCTTACAAGTAGTAGCTGGGTGTCAGCTCCGTGACATCACCAGCCTTTCACTCAGTCAAGCACTCTCCTCTGGGCTTATTCCAGCCCCAGTTATGCCTTGCAGGCTGACAAGAGGGGCACCATAATCACTGAGTCCTTGATTCATTCTCCTGTGATATCCAGCCCCTGACTCTGGCTATTCACAGAAGTACCAGAATCCCTGCACCCAAAGATATAATGTACCCCAGTTTACCACAGTTACCTTCAATCACTGCTCCTGTAAGCCACACAGCACTTGTGAACACTTATAAGAAAACAAAAGTAGGTTTATTTAAGAAAGAATAAAGATTTATCCAGGAAAGAGAGAAGGTGATAGAAACAACTGGTTACAATGCAAAAAAAAAAAACTCTTAACGGATGATCAGGGGTCTACACTTTTCAATAATTACCTTTCCTATCTAATGAACCAGGTTTTCCCCACAAATCTCAGTCAGTTGCAGAACTAGCTGGTGATCCCCTGCCTGCTTTGATGTTCCTTTTCACCTCCAAGTGTTTTTGATCATTTGCCATGGTCTTTGATGTTTTCCATTGAATGTTCTGGGATGTGGCAAGGGTAGACAACACAGCGTTCAGTAGATACGTTACATGTTATACTTGATGAATAAATATTGTATAAGAAGAGTTTGGTGTATTGAGTTTGTCAGGCCTGAGGTGAGAGCTGGTTGCAAAGAACACGGGACCCTTTGCCAAGGGCGCTCTGTGTCACACCAACCCAATTTTCTTTTCTCTTATTCTTTATCTTTTCTCTTATTAAACCATCTCCATCTCATGCTGACCCTGGTGTTGTTCCTGGTCAGGGCTTTAGCAAAAAGGTGATCTTGCATTTTGCTCTGACTATAGCCAGGCCAGGGTTCAGTCTGATCCCCTCTCAGAAGCAGTTCTACAGCTGAGTTCTAGCTGTTGAGAACACTCTGCTTCAGTGCACAGTTGAGACTGTCTGATACAGGCCGTTCACCTTGGCAGCAACAGCACTACTCCGTACCATACCTGTAATTCTGCACAGCCACACACAAAGATGCGTACAGCAGTGCACAAGGGATCCCATCACATTTGGTGTTTAACCTGCTCAGAGGTAATGCAATCACATATTTTCCACCACCACATCCCTCTACACGATTTTAGCACAAGCAATGGAAAAGCAGCTGCAGTCGTACAATGAGTCTCCTCCCAGTGCAGTTCCATATTGTCCCTGTCCATCCTTACACGAGTGTCTTGATAACTCAGAATCACTGGGCTCAACACAGGGAATTTTATGGGAAACATAATGGTCTGTGATGTGAAGGAGGGCAGACTAGATGAGCTAATGGTCTCTTGTGGCCTTAAGCTCTATGAAGCTGATTCTGTCACCTGCCAAGCCACTCACTTGAGTTAGTTGGAAAAAATTATAATTTTGGTTAAAAAGTGGATGAAATATTAAGCAAAATATTCCAAAGAGAATTCTATCCATTTTTTTAAGCGATATCTGCCACTCATATCCCTGCTGCATGCCAGCATCAGAGCAGCTGAGGGGAGATTCATTCGGCTCGGCTCGGCCTGGCCCCAAACACCCACCCCTCAGATTTACAAAGACAGAATGAATGAAAAATACAATGTTATAGCGTTAGAACTTCAAACATGTGTCAACTTAACAATTTTTTGTGGTGCATTGGGAATTCTTGTGCAAAAACATAAAATGTCCCACCATGGCAGTGTTGACTAACCCCTGATTTATGTGCATGAACACAGATGCCCCACAATGCATAATGACTGCCTGTTGACAGCATCCACAGCAATTTCCACACTCCTGAGATGTGCTAAAGAGAACACAGGGCATGGTAATCAGTTAACAAATTAACACCCGGATGAAACCTACACACAGCACTCCCATCCCCCAACTAAATCCTCTTTTCCATGGTTCTCCATCACCCTCTGATTGTTCCCATCCTTCCAGCCCCAAGGGACTCCACTATAGCAGGTGGGGAAGAGCTTTGGGGAGCATTCTCTGGGCTGCGTGGAGGACCCTCCAAGGATATTCTTCCTTTGGGCCCAGAGCACTCTCCTCTCTAGCTCCTAAAGGAAAACACGGGATAGAGAGAAACCGAGTTTAGCTACTAATCAAACAAAACAACTGAAGAAATAACAAAATTTAAACAAACAAGGAAATTCTGTTTAAGAAATTAACAAACATGATTGAAGAAATTAATTAAAAACAAAAAAATCCAGCCCCTCACTGCTGTGAGCACCGACACCCAAAGCTGCTGGTGCTCTTCTTGATCCACTCAGTCTAACAGTAGTCACTGAGGTCTAGCCACTTGCTTGGCAACATTTGTGGTTCAATATTAAAAGTATTTGAGAGACCAAATAATCCAGCTTATTTTAGTTTATTAATAAAAGACAAAGCAGTACGATATGAAAAGGAGGCATTTATACACCTTCTGGGAAGCTATTAATGTCGCAGCACGTTCACATTACACAGAAGTTGTGCCTCAAAAATATGCACCCAAGATAGCACAGCATGGCTATTTACAAGTTAGAAAGCACTGAATATGTCAGCCAGGGCTAGAATTCACGTCAGCTTTTTACCTTTTCTTGTATTATGGTGTATCTTTCTCTTTCTTTTGAATACTATGAACTATGAAGGATCTATCCAACCTGTACTAGGATGTACAATGGATGTATCGTGCCTTTGAAAGGCTTTATATTTGCTAATGTGAAAAGCTATGTTTTGCTTTGTAGACTACATATATATTTAAGTGAAGCTGGAAGTGCTACCTGCTGTTGCTGTGGCCTGAGACTTCGATCAGTATACCCTGTTTTCTGTTGCTTATAACTTTGCTAACCTTAACCATTTTTACTTAAATTTTCCATGCCGGGTGTCTGCTTCAAGCTGGATATTTTTGTGAAATTTCAGCATTAATGGTTCATCCATTTTCATCCATAGGCTAGGGAAACACACTTTTCCCCCAAGTAGTTCTGGTGAACTTCTCAGTAAGAAGCTGTATCACCCCCATGCTTTGGAGCAGGAACTTTAAATTTTGCATGGGGGATCATTTGTGCCAGGGATGTGTCTATTTCTGTTCTTGTGATAATCTGCCCCAATTTTCAAAGTTATAAGCCTTTGAAAAATCTCAGTGTTGATGTTGCATAGAGACTTGTTTCAGCTTTGCAGCTACAATTTCCAAAGTCCCCTTCTTCACTGAGCATGCTCACCCTGGGGCTCCAGAGGGCTGAGCCGGCCCTGACTAGGACTGGTGGGGAAATGAGGATTGGATCAGGGGATCCTGACTTCCATCTTTAGGGGTGGGGTATGTGGTGGGGGAGATTCCCACCCCAATCAGGAAGGGGTTAAAGAACTCCTCTGGGCACAGCCCCAACCTGGCACACCTGTGAGACCAATTGCACATGGAGAGGGGTGGCTCCTTAAAAGGGAGGATCAAAGGCCAGTGCAGGTTGGCATTCAGAGGGAAGCAGAACTAGCGATCCCCTGCTCCACAGGGAAGCTGCAGAAGAGATTTTGCTGCCTGAGCCCTGTGGAAAGGCAGAGGAGCCATCTTTACTCTGCTTTGCTTTTCACTAGAGCCCAGGCACTCAGCCTAGATCTCTTAGACACTCAGGGTGTTAGGAACCCAGCCCCCTTCTCAGAGTCTATTCACCAGTTACATTTCGAGGAATAGTGGGGTGAGCCCAGACTGTTTTGTGGGTTGCAGGATTATTTTGTTTGCTTCTTTTCTGCCTTGGACTGTGGCCATGCCTTAAAGAGGGAGAAGCCGCCTCCCAAAGACTGACAGCCAGGAGACTGCACCCTGCACTCCAAACCAGTGCTATAGCGACACCTCCAGCCAGAAAGGGACCTTAGGGATGAGAGAGGCGCCCACCCTCACCCCACAGGGGTGCCCTAGAGATACGACCTGTGACAGAAAGTTTAAATAGGAATCACCACTTTGCTCAGAAACTTCACACGTTCTGCCCAGACAAGGATTTAGCCACATAGTTCGATCAACTTCTCATCTCCAGCCTGGATCACTGTAATTAACTGCTTCTAACACTCAATCTAACACTGCACATGTTCCAGCCAATAGAAGAGAACTCTCTACCTCTTCTGTGGTGTATGCCACTATGACCACATCAGGTCAGTGCTCCAATCCTCCATTGGACATAAACATGTATAAAGAACACAGAAAGAAATACAGTCTTTGAAATTAAATCTCACAGTTTCTTGTCAGTTTGTATCGGGGGTAGCCGTGTTAGTCTGTATCCACAAAAACAACAAGGAGTCCGGTGGCACCAGACTCCTTGTTGTTTTTCTCAATTTGTGTAACCCTAGAATGGGGAGAGTTAGCCTGTGGGGTTATCAAGTGCCCGGTAGTGCTTATCAGTCCTGCAGCTTCTTAGTCCTGCAGCTTCTTCAATAGATTTAGCAACTCTGGGGTCACACACAGTGACCTCAGTCTTAATACCCTGATTGCAGGGCTTGCTGGCCAGGGCTACTCTCTGATTTTCTATTGGACACTTGGCCCATCAGTGCACAGAGAGAATGGCAAGTGTGGATCTGCAATTAGTGGAGTTGATGTACAACAAATCTCTCAGAAGCTTTTCTTAGTCAGAGGAATTTCATATTTCATTCATTTCAAAGAAGCCTTCTGAAATGCTAGTTTCAAAGCAAATGGCCATTGTATATAATGACCGGAGGTCAGAGACTCTAAAGGCATTCCTCACGTACTGTCATCAGAGGAAAAGCCCATGTCGGTAGAAGCTGTCAGCCTGTTTTCTGACAGAAGAATCTATAAATATGGATTCAGGGAACGATCCTT